CACGATGACGTCCAACGAGTGCCGTGTGTACTACAGGTGTCAGATTAATGGAAAATTGAATTCCCTGGGCTCGTATCGGAGCGACAGAGAGCGAGAGCTACAAGGAAAATGGGTAGACGCGGTAGCTACGAGGAAAATCGGTGCAGGCGTGAAACAACTGATCCGATTCTGACATCAAACGGAATTCTTGAGCTTGGATTCGCTCCAGTGCAACCTTGTTCTGAAGGAGGAAGAGTTGGGAGTCCGGTGGGACACATTTTTTTCTGTCTGTCTAAAATCTACTTTTATTTTCATTTCTTTCATTTTGTTAGGTGTCTGTCATTAGAGAGGTCCCAGGGGCGTCTACCTCGCCCGCCACTCCTCCCTCAGGGCGGCCGCAGCAGGGCAGTTGATGAGCAAGTTGATGAGCTGCGAGTCGTCGGGACGTAGTAAGAAGTCGTCATTTCCTGGCGTCTCGAGGTAGGCGGGGAGCGGTCGGGCGTGCCTCTAGGCGTTGCCGGGCGGTGGCGGGGGATGGCGGGGCGTCCTTTCCCTTGGGTCACAACGGGGTGAGGGGCTGGTTCTCGCCTCGGCCGCCAGGGCGCGCTGGCCGCGATGACGTGCGAACCACAGCGGGGTGGGGGTTGTTTACATGAACAGCCCCCGGTGGGGGGTAGGGTCGGGGGGTGCTAGCGCCGCCGAGCGCCAGCCCGGCCCGACCCGGCGGCCGGCCCGCCAGTCCCCGCCACACGCCAGGTCACGCCGCACACGGAGGACGCCGCGCTCGCCGCCCCGCCGAGGCCGCCCGCTCCCGCCGAGCCTCTCGCCAGCGACATCGCCACACCAGCGCCCGGGTCCCCGGCCCGGGGCGCGAGCTGGAGCACCGCGCGCACGCCGACACGACGAGGAAGAAGAAGGGAGGTTAGTGGACACTCTTTTGCGTCGCTCTGCTCGAGTTCAAAGATTATACCGCTACTCTTGGCGATGCAAACCAGTACCAGTATTAGTCGTGTGTGCGGTAGCAACCCTTGTCAGCAAATTTCGTTGTCTATTCTGTATACTACGAACCAGTGTCGGCTGGGAAGATGAAGAAGGCAAATTTTCCACGGATGCAATAGGTGTTTTGTGGACTGCATTTATGGCATGCCTAACAGGCAACCGCTTGGCACAGGTGTACTAATGTGGACTAGTATACAGGCGTGGGTGCAGCCCGCTTCGCACTGGTGCATTTATAGGAATGTTTACCTAATTTTTCTGACAGCACTTGCCGCCAGCCACGTACTTGTCCGCCAAAGTTTTGCGGAAAGTAGAATCATGTTCTCACACAAAATGTTCCACATCTATGACTGGGCAATAATGGCGAAGTACATACCAGGTGGCTGATTCACGCCGCGCACTTCTGTAGTTATGCTGTACCGCATGCACGAGTGCGGGCGTGATGCCTACTCGCTCGGCTCGTAAGGCGCCGTGGACAGGGGCGATAGGCAAGCACGCCCGCACTCGTGCGGGCGGTACAGTCTACCTACTTAAGTGCGCGGCGTGAATCAGCCACCTGGTATATGCATTTCGGTTAACGGAGGAAGAAGAAGAGCGGGTAGAACATTAAGATTCCTTCAGATATACACGTTCTTACTTTTTACTCGCAAAATGAAGAAAAGGAGGACTCGTCAAAATTACAACGTTTCGTGAAATAGCAATAACAATCATTCAGGTGTGTCGTTAGGAAAAATAATATATAACTTTTGCTTCGTACGGAAATTCTCATATTGAATATTATAGCTGTATCGGATTTGAGAATAATACGCGTGCTCCACTGCTCTCGCAACAGCCACAAAAGCAGCGCATGCTGGAGCCCGCCGTACCCTTCCTCCTCTTTCCGTTATTATTTCAATCCATTGCCCCCCTTTTTCCTGGTTGTGCACATTCCAATATCCCGCCGCGCCACACACGGCCCCGCCGCGCCCCGATCCACCAATCAGGCCGCGCCGGTGATTGCTGCCACCGGCGCGCGGCTCGTCAAACGTCGGCGGCCTCCCCGTAGCCGCCCCCGCCACGCCCCGCCACGGGCGGTCAGGATGTGCCCAGAAACCCCCGAACCCCTGCTCGGAATAACTCGTGCCCATGGGCAGGCATGACCTTAGCGACATTCTACCAGCCCGACCCACCCCCTCCCCTGGTGCTGCGCTGCCCGGGCACGCCGCCGTCAGCCCCCGGGGGGTTCGGTGGCTGTGCTTTGCTTCCATGTTCTCGAATTAGGGTAGGGGCCTCTGCGAGGGGTGAACAACTCAGCTGAGACGGGGACAGAGGAATATATTACAAGGTAATATATGTAATACAGGTAATACTGGTAATATCAATGTATTAAAAGTATTACAAGGTATTACAAGCATTACAAGGTAATACAAGGTAATACAAAGTAATACTACATGGTATCACAGGTATTACGAGGTAATACAAGTCATACAGAGGGTTACAAGAATTCAAATAATATAAGTATTACAATGTAATATAGAG